GTTTTTTAACTATCCAGTATTTACGTGTGTACTCAAAGCAATATCATACGCAGCAGATGCAGCAAATAAAATATGAAGTGCTTAAGATACAATTGAAGACTTGGCAAACACCTGGCAGATGATATTTATTGTAGACGAGTGCAGGATTGTGTAGGTACAGTAAGTAAAAACATAAACTAAAAACAAACTATAAATACTACAACAAAAATCACTGAGCTAAAAAAAAGTGATCTTATGAGAAAGGTTTTGGTGTTTGTATTGAAACATTGTTTCTACCAGACAAGGGGTCTCAAACTCAGTCCCTAGAGGGCCTGATGTCTTCCAAGCCCTCTTTTACACAGTTGGTCTAATTATTTAATTAACTACACAGTAAATTAAATAGACCAACTACACATTTCTAACCAGGGTCTCCAGTGATTTATAGGTAACTGTACCTTTAAAGAAGTGATCCACTTCAGTGGTTTCATGATCCAAACATCCCACATTCTTCTGGGTCTGACTGATATACAGTATATACATATATACTATATATACATATGGGTGAATACTACACGTTGTTGTTTGTAATTATAATAATTGCTTACACTTATATAGCGCTTTTTCAGGACACTCCACTCAAAGCGCTTTACAGGTAATGGGGTCTCCCCTCCACCACCACCAGTGTGCAGCCCCACCTGGATGATGCGACGGCAGCCATAGTGCGCCAGAACGCTCCCCACACATCAGCTATCAGTGGGGAGGAGAGCAGAGTAATGAAGCCAATTTATAGAGGGGGATTGTTAGGAGGCCATGATTGATAAGGGCCAATGGGAAATGTGGCCAGGACACCGGGGTAACACCCCTACACTTTTCGAGAAACACCCTGGGATTTTTAATGACCACAGAGAGTCAGGACCTCGGTTTTACGTCTCATCCGAAGGACGGCGCCTGTTTACAGTATAGTTTCCCCGTCACTATACTGGCACATTAGGACCCACACAGACTGCAGGGTGAGCGCCGCCTGCTGGCCCCACTAACACCTCTTCCAGCAGCAGCCTTAGTTTTTCCCAGGGAGTCTCCCATCCAGGTACTGATCAGGCTCACACCTGATTCAGTGGGTTGCCAGTTGTGAGTTGCAGGGTGATATGGCTGCTGGCTGTATATGAATATTACAATTCATGATGCCTGCAGCTTGCCGGTCTTTATGAAGGGTGTGCTGCAGAGTTTTGAACTCCAGTCATTAACCAGGCCCTTGCCCTTGAAGTATTCCAGTCATGCCTGTGGAAATCTGATGAATCCTATCAGGGACTGAAATTGGCACACACTCCAACACAGTTTGGGGGTGGTTAGAATAACACAGCCTCATAGAAATGCAGCCCAGGGTTCTCTTTACACAAATGCAAAGAATGCTGTACATTTGAGTAGGCGTGGATGAGTCACTTGTGAGTGCAGCTTAGCATTCCATTTAATGAAGGAGAGCTAAGTGCAGTTCTTTTCAACACTGCACTTTAGGGGAAGCTCATTTCTTAGTCTTACACGATAGCTCTGTTCATTCTGCTGTTCCACAATGGGATGAAAAATGTTGCCATGTAATTGCATTTTTTCCTGGTAATGTTATCCTAACATCCTCCACTACAGTGTTAAAATGCTTGGTTGTCTAACATCGAGATATCCTGCTATTAACTCTCTGTTTTCAATACTGAACACATGAATTCCTGCTCATGAATTAACACCCCCAATCATCCCATCTTCTGGGCAATGGAACACCCTGCACTGTGTTCATCAGTAAAATTATTCCATTCTCTGCAGGCACATTTAAGCAGTCCTGTCTGTCCCAGGAAAGGCTGATTAGCTCTTTGGTTTGTGGTTGGATTGCAGTTACTTATCTGCACCAGATCTATGCCAATCATGTTTAATTATGCACTTCAAAGCCTGGCATCTGCACTGTTACATGCACAGCACAAATTGGCTAATGGTACCCTTGCAGCTAACACTGACATACAAGAATATTGCAAAATCTAAAAGCAGTATAAAATTAAGCATGTGACTAAGTATCATTTATTGGACTACATCATGAGTCTGTGTAGTTCATTCTTTTCTGAAGAACTACAGATTTCTGGGTACCACCCTGGTAGACGCCTTTTTGAAAAAGGGGCAAGATATGGAATATAAGAATAATGAGGCTCAAAGTCCTGTCTGACAGTGCCAATGGGTAACCAATGTGATCCGCCACCCTGAACCCCTGAAAGACAGACTCTAAGATCAAAGATCTGTCAATGACTGAGAGATCAGACAAGTGGTGTGGCAGTGTTTAACACAGCAAGCAAAAAGCTTGAAACTTGAGTTGTTTAGATGTACAGTATGTGTCCCACAACAGGGACATGATGATGTAAAGTGAAAATCTGGTCATTCTTTTATTGCTTTTTGACCCCTGTATGTAAGTTCACCCAGTCTCCTAACATCCTAACACCCAGTCCCAGCCCTGGTCCTGGGGGTGCCCCTGTATCCCCTGAATTTTGCTTCCTCTGTTTTCTTAATCCGAGACTAAACAATTCAATTTTTCTATTTGGGACATATTTTTAAGTTTGCCTTCTCTTGAAAACTAAAATAACATTTGTGACTAGTATAATTCCTGTATCATCTGAGTCTCAGAACTGCCCTCATTCAGGTGTGCAGCCAGAGGTTTAACCAACTGGACCTCTGCAGAAGGACAAAAAGCTTGCCGATACCGTGCCATTACCTGTGTCTGTTCATCATCAATTGATCACTGACCACTCACAGCTCAGGTGGAGTGAATCCCAGTGGACACTGTGAAAAAGTTCTGAACCACTTTCTTAACTGGACACTCTGAGCCTTCACCCTTTAACAAGTCCTAATAAACAGCACAGCATGTCCTTTTGAAAGACTGAAGTGTGATTTGCTTCGATGTGCAAAGCATCCTGTAGGCAGAATTTTTCACATGAATGATAGAAGTCCGGTTGGAACACTGCATAGAAATATTTACCGCGGTAGGTTCAGAGACCATCAGGTCACGTTACTGTGAATTCTTTGGCACTGGCACTTTCATAAGAAGAGACCGTTGTGGAATGTGGAAGTTGGCAGATTTGGTGATTGGTCTTACGGGGTTTTTTCAATTTTAAGGTCAGCTGCTTGGTGAAGGAAGCAGTCTGTTTACCAATATCTGAACCAGAGGCCTGGTGCCTTGTTTTTACAAACCCCTTTTTCACAGACATTTTCGGTTTCAAACATAAGGTCCTGGCTTTTAATAATATGATGAGCACATTAATTGTTATTTTAGTTAATATGTGGGTTATACTTCCTTATTATTTCCAAATTATTTTGATGTGCAGGGATTCTGAGATGGACACATGCTGGATTTTGTAAATAGGTTTTGATTAAAGGGCAGCTGAGCACTGAGCTGAGCATTATTATAAAGCTTGAAATAAGTCCTTTTAAGAAATTGTTCCTTTTTGCTGGATTGCTTTATTCACAAAGTGGGAGTCCTGATGAAGAAATAGCGCATACAGCCAATGCCTGCAGAAAATATGCAAGGAACACGGAGGACATGTTGGAGGACAAAATACGGACTTGAATGATAAAGATGAAGTAGATTGAGCAGGACTGGAGCAGGCGGTTAGGAGTCCTTGCGCCATGGTGTGGCTGTGGTCTAAAATGTTCTCATTGATGGGATTTGTGGGAGCCAGTGGTCTAGGGAAGAAGTTTCAGTGGGGATTGAAGACCTCAGAGAAACAGATTCTGTGAGGGACCAGTACGTAGTAAATATCCAGACTCGGCGTGTGTTACGTATCGTTGAGAGCTGTTAGTATGTGCCACAGTCACTCACTGCCAGTTCACCGTGGTGACCAGGTGACAGTTTCGGGCAGGACTAATGGCAGGTAATACGCGATGCAGTTGTCTAGTAAGTGGAAGAGGGTCGAGCAGCAGGCTGTCTTGTTTCCCAGCTGAGACTTACCGGTGTGGTCAGGCGCTGGGTATCGGCGGGAGGGATGATTGCGCCGTCTCCCCTACAGGGGCTGCAGTTTCGAGAGCGCAGTGCGGAGGTGTCCTGAGGTGACGCCTGTGGCTTTTAAAAAAGCGGAACGATAAAAGAAGAAGTGAGAGATCCCATGGAATGAAGAACAGTGAAGCCATTCTCTCCCACCCACTGCATAAAGGTCACCTCTGATGTTCCCTCTCTTGTGTCACTCGTAGAGACCAACCCCACCCTCAGACGCCCCAGCTCTTGTGTTTTCAGAATCGCAGCAGAACTTTAGACTAGCTGGGCTAATTTTAATACAGGGTTTAATGTGTGGAATGCATGCCTTGTTGAGGCCGTGTTTTATGAATGGCATGCTGCAGTACAAGCTGTGGGGCCGCACTCAAGAGAGCCCAGCAAGGATTACACTGCATGAACATTTGTGTGCCTTTGATTCATTATTCTCTTCCTTCTTCCGGTTCTTACATTCCCTTTTTAATGTCTGTAAGGACTTTCTGCATCATCTGCTCGTACCCGGCTCACAGTTCCAGCAGTCAATGCACAGAGGTGATCATCGGCATTCCTGCACTCTCACCTTGTCTCCGCTGTTGGTGTCAAAGCACTGTTGGTAATACTGGGCAGCATCAGCTACTCTGTGTAGCCGCTGGGATTGCTGTGGTTGGTATCTTTAAGGGAGGTTTATGAGAAGCAATTTATCTTCCAATACTCTATATAAAAGAATGAAGTGGCAGTAAAATGTATTCTAGTGTATTATAGAGTATTGGCCTGTACTTAAAATGAACACAAATCAAACTGGATTGCTATACATTTAATGGATGGATGAGCAGATGGACAGATGGGGGGATACTTGAACAAACACACATAGATGGATCTACCTATGCTCACCATGCCAATATCGGCACTCAACACACTACTACCATATATTACCATGATTTTCTGAGTATAACCATAAAGCAGGTGTTAGGGTTTTATTCTATCTGTGTTTCGCATGAGTTTTTAATTCCAATTTTGGTGAACTGGTTACTCTAAAATTGTATCCCAGACAGTCTGTTGAAGAGTTTGTTTAGAGCTTGAGTTAGGCTGAAGTATTTCAGACAATAAAGGCACGATGTGTATAAATAGGCAATGGAAAGTTTTGAGTGGTCTTACAGTATCAGACACAAGGAGTGAATGCAATTAGTTTGGGCTGAGAACACATTCAACAGGTTTGGCTGAACGGCTTGCTCTGAGGATCACTACCTGTTGGCATAGCACACACACCTCAGGACAGACTGGACAGTAAAGGCCACCTTCTTGGCCGACTCTTCTTGGGCTAGTGGCACAGATATCAGGGCCATGCAAGCTCTCGAACCCTTTCCCACGAACTGAACATTTTGAAGGGGGCCATTCCTTCCAGAACACAGATCTGGGTGATGATCTGGATTTTTATCCTGCTTTGAGGATGGGGGCGTGGGCAGAGGGTAGCCCGGGCCAGTAGAATGCCTGCTGGTCGTTCAGGCTGCTGTCTGCTCTGCGTGTGACAGTGTAGAGCCAGCCCAGGCCTGCCTTCTATGGGGAGGAGGGAGCTGGGAACCGCAGACTGACTTCCCGTAACTCACAAACACGGGCGTCCAATCAGAGCTCAGATACTCAGAGCTCAGGGTTTGGCTGGAGGCCAGTGGGATAAGAGCAAAGTAAGAGAAGTTAAGAGGCAGAGGAGAGGAGTCAGGGCGCTAAAGGATTTTCCTTCGCTTGAAAGCCTGCTGTGAAAGCACTGGACAACGAGAAAGACTGAAAGCCAACCCTGGTATGTTTAAGGCCTTTTTATCTCTAAAGACATTTTGTGACCTGTTCCATTCCTGGCCTGTTACTTTGCTCTTTGTGTAGCAGGAAGTACAGGCAAGAAAAATAACTGTGCGCCATTATGTCAAGATCTGTAAAGAGCATGCAGGGGGGGTGCACAGACTGTAGTTGAGGCTGTAGTTTTAGAAATGGGGCCATAAACACCAGTTTTCAGTCACTCCCACTGGTAAAGGGTTTGGTTTAGAAGGCATGAGACAGTCGGGAACATAGATCAGATGCCAGCTGTGAGACTTTTATTGGCACCGAAGAGCTAACAGCTTGACAACAGCGCACTCGCCCCTCGAGCCAGTCGGTGCATGATCTTCATCAGTCTCCGCTCCTGCTGAATGTGATTCTTCTTCAGTTTTCTGGCTGTATGTTTTTTTGTTTCAGTAAAAGTTTCCACATGATACTCGGTGCTCGTTAGTGCGTGCTGTGCCTTGGGGAAAAGGTCTTCTAAAGAGGAGAGCCGAGTCTGTGCAGAGTTGGCGCTGCCACTCCCCAAACCTGGGCAAGGGCTGGTGGTGTGTGCTTCCTCGACTGCGATCTGCATGCCGCCTTCCTCTGGGCTCCTTCACTTCTCTGCACGTAACACTCAGGGTGTGCAGAGAGAGGAGCTGAGTGAATTTGAGAATGAAAATGTCCTCTTGCTTCAGTACAGTACAGTAGCTGTCTGAGATACCCAGGGTGTGTTTTGCAGTGTTTTTGAGGTTAGGGTCACAGGCATGGAGGTCTTGTTCTCACTGTTCATGCTTTGCTGCTGCGTCAAATCTAAACACCATGGAGGTGATTTCAGTGTAATGTCAAACAGACACGATCATTTCTGGATTAAGTGCGTGCAGGATGGAAGACGATTCTGTACCACAAAAGAGTAAATGATTATCACATCTCTGTCTCTAAGTGTGTAGAAATAGTGTCTTGACTTACATTGAGTGCTGTGTCTGCATGCACCCTCCCTCTCACAGTATCTAAAACATCCTGCACATTGTCTTTTCTGGACTGATAAGCACCTATAGGATGGGCAGATGACTTTATTGCTCTCCCAGCATTAAGAAGCTGCAGAGTGTGCTCTTCATATTCTGAAAACCGGTTTAAATAAAAATAAAATAGTCTCTCAACACAAAAGGACATTAGTTGTATAAGAAGGCTTGGACATAGTTCTGCGCAGTGCTAAAAGAGTTGTATGTAGTATATTTGTAGAAATAGTTTTACAGTATATTCATTTTCTTTTGATTGTTTTCCGAATATTGTTTTAAACATTATAAGGCAAAAAACCTTTTTTAAACAAAAGGAATTTTCTGGGTCTTACATGATGTGCATACTTTTAAAAGATCCAGTGCTATACGAGGAAATCCTGGTATCTTTCACTCTTTTCCTTGACATTTTCGTAATGTTCTTGATGATGCCTTACAGTGTGCGAGCACATTTAGAAATTCCAGTGTGTTTTCTCTCAGAGGTTTGTCTTGCTTTTGACAATGACAAACATGGGGCTGACAGCACGGGGACAGAGCTTGTTGTCCTTGGCAGCTTGTGGACAGGCTGGGAGTTTGAAAGGGGGCCGCAGCTCTGGGAGAGACATGGACAGCTGACTTTAACATTTCGTCCCCTGCCTGCCGGCTCCTGCTCCAGCTAAACTATTTATACACTTAGGGAATGCTGCCGGGGAGAGGCTGAGACACACGTGTGCACTCCATCGCTGACAACCCCAGCAGCCACCCTGCGCCTCTGCAAGTGGCCACTTCTCCTTGACTTGTACGCTGTGTTTCTGCTGGGAGAACCACAGCTTTCAGGAGTGGAAAATGGGCAAAATGAAGGCTGATGAGATGGAAGCTGTGTCACGCAGATTAAGTCCGTGTGAGGTGCAGTGAGGCTACAGCATGTGCCGCGATACTGCTATTGCATCTCTGTCATTAATACTGGCAAGTGGAAAAAGGAAAGTCTGCTTGACGTCTGTCTCACTATCACAGAGCAACTAGAGAGCGAGTCGAGTTAATTTACCGTGCAGGGTGCACACCCCTACCTCGGCCTCACTGTGTTTCATGGTGTTGGTATATCGCAATTTGGGATTGACCTTTCTTTCTCTACGGCTTTCAAATGACGTCACTGTGCTTTGAAATAATCTGGACGGTAAATAAACGATACATCATTTGCTGTGAAGAAATTGACGTCAGTGACGTCATCACAGGTGAATCCATTGTGGTAAATCTTTCAAAGGAGAGGGCAAAAAGCAGTGCAGGAGAGCAATCGATGCAGGCAAATGAAAACACAGTACCACCACTTGCAAGCAGGCTAGTGAGAGAAAACCATTGATGAGCAGGGAGAGAGGAGTGAGTGGCATACTGCAGTGTAGGATCTGTATTACGTCTTTCTGTAAAAACCGGTTGGCTGGAGGTTGTGTGCGCTGCAGCTGGTGCAGTGAAGCATGTCTGTTGTGTTATGTGATTGCTTTGTGTCTGCTGGGCAACACTCCAGCTGTGGCATGTGAACAGGACAGACAGAACTGGGCCAGAATACAGCAGCTGAGTGAGTTCTAAATAACACTAGAATGTCCAGTGGGTGCTCTGCTTTTTATGCTCTTTAAGCTTGAAGGGTCTTCAGCCCAGTGTTTACCCCAGCCTTAACAGTGTTAATCTGAGTGTTTGTCACTCCCCCTGGAAGAACATCAACATCTGCAGCATAGATGTGAATTTATAATTTCCAGTTATGAGTCCAAAGCCCCACAAGTCTACACTGCTCCTGTGTGCTTTTAATCATGACAGAAATGGAAACTTGCTGCTGTAGAAATATTTTCACTGAATTCTCACAGGCACACAGTGGAGCATTAAAGACTGCTTTCCAGTGTCAAACTTGAATTCTTGCAACTTCCTTTAACTGCTCACTGATAGTTCTGCATGTTGTCCTTCACGACACACAGCAGCAGGGGTGTAATTGTTCTATTGTGAGAAAAATCTAACAGCCAAGAGATCACTTTTCACTTTTTATTGCCGTGAAAACAGAATCTCTTTGTATTTCTGCCACCTTGACCCACCTGAAGCTCTGATAAAACAAGGATCAGATCTAGCTGGAGAGATTAACTGTGGTAACTTGAGAAAACTGCACCACACAAGAAAAAAAAGCATTATATGATCTTTTGTTTGCTGAACAATGGGAGCTTGTGAGGATTCCAAGCAGGTGTTGAGTCACAGTTTAGACAGTTGAAGGCAGAAGATAGTGATTGTACAGTGTTTTCTTCTTAGTTGTGGTTTGGATGGTCATTAATGTAAAGTACCTTAAAACATAATGTCAGTGCGCTTCCACAACAAATGGCTATTGTTGGTCTGTGTTGTGTGGAATTAGTCACAATATAACGAATGAGTGAAAAAAGTATGTTCATAAGGGCATCCTGACACAGTGCTTGAATAACTCTGCAGCCTTGAACAACTGCTCTTCAGGTTATCTTAAAGTGCTGCGTTGTTTCATACGTCATTGAATGTGTTCTTCAACCCGGCTACCTAGTAAAGGAAAGCAGTTCTGGAAATAAACATATTTGACTTTCCCCTCTTCATCTCAGTTGAAAGACTGCTGCACTGTGTCTAACAAGAACAGGTACCAACACAGGGAGGTCATCCAGCCCATGCAGCCTGCTGGTAATTAGTAGCTCATTGACAAAAGGATCTCGTCCACTGGTTTCTTCAAGGAAACCAGGGTGTCATCTTCAGCAACATGGCTGAATAGCTCGTTCATTCCTCCACGGCCCTTGGGGAAGCAGTGCCTCCTGTTTGAAATGTGTTCACATACGTGGATCAGGTCACCTTGTCGTCATCTCTTTTCAAGACCAGAACACCTCAGTTCCTTCAGCATGTCAGTATAAGACACTCACCTAAGCCCCAGAATACATCTCATTGCTCTCCTTTGAACTCATGCCCAGCAGTGATATCTTTTCTATAAGACTGTACCTTAGGAAGGAAACTAAAGGGACCCCTAGAACGTCTTTTGCGCAAAGCTCCTTCCCCAGAGCCACCTTCATACTCCTCATTACAGCGACAGAAAAAATGGGTTCAAGAAGTAGAGTAAAAAAGGGGGATTGGTTTCAGGAGGGAGATTTTATCTGGGTCCGATCACATCCTATCTCTGATTCCACTGCACAATTTTCAGACAGGCTAGAGCTAAAATGGTCAGGTCCAGCCTTGGCAATTAAGATTCCAAGACCAGTAAATTACCGAGTACAATGGTGTGACCAAAGTAGCTACAACATTAAACCCAAAACTCTACACAATATTCTAATTGAGGCCTTACTGGTGCTTTACCATTTTAACATAACATCCCTTCATTTAAATTCTATGCCTTTAAATCTATATCCTAATGTTTTGTTAGCCTTTTTAATTGCTGCCCCACATTGTGTCTGCAGAGACACCTAAGTCTTTTTCATTAGTATCCTCTGCTGTCTCAGCATTTCTAATTTTCTGTATAAAGCTTGATGTTTTTGCTACCTAAACTATTAACGTCTGACCCGGCAGGGCCTGATACTGAAATCAGGTCTTTAGAGACTAATGTGTGTATGAATCTTTTCATTTTGTCCATCTGTGCAGAAGCTCAGTGCAGGAGGGATGGAGGTGTGGAAGCAGAGGATCGGGGGCTCCACTGTCCCCTTCATGGAACCGCAGAAGGACCTCGAAGTCCCGTACAAGGGGTACCAGGGCCCCAGTGAGAAGATCATGCACTTCCAGCCCCCGCGCAAGAGGAAGGACAGCCTGCACCTGAGCGACATTCCTTTCCCCCCACAGATCACCCAGCTGATAACCCGCGGCACCGCCAAGCACGTGGACCAGGCGCAGCAGGGCGAGGACAAGCTGTGCTGCGTGTCCATCATCGCCCAGGCCGAGTGTGAGTAGGACACAGGGCGCCGGGGCGGTTGGGGCATCTCACTGGGGACCGCCATGGTTTGACCACTCGAGCAGGCCGCTTGTACAGTTACGTAGTTCAGAGATCACTTGCACTGCAAACATTATTAGGTTCAGAAGTTGGACAGGGCTCAGAGAGTCAGATCTACAGGTAGCATGTTAAAGATGGAAAGGGAATGCAAGGAACAGACTGAACACCTTAAGCACTGGACTTGCCTCTAACAGGCAGTGCAAAATAATCAGATGTTGATAACCAGAAAAAAGATTGCTTGTACTTTTACTGTCAATTGATGGATCCGAACCCTCCCTGGGTTACGAAGCTAAAACAGCAGGCAGCAGTGGTTTGGGAAGAAGTGGCTAGCTCTACAGAAATCTAGCTGGCTCCACTGCGAGATCCAGACAGGCTTGAGAGTCCCATGAATTTAACTCCAAGCTGATGCTTTGTGAATACAACAGCTGCCCCTGCTTAACGTGTCCTGTGTGTGTTTTTCTCTCCGTCAGGTGAAGGAAAACAAGAATTCAGCCCCACTTGCTCAGAGGGGCCTTTCATCGGCTCGCCACACTGTTTCAGGTATTTGCCCTCTTCTGCCTCCTTATCTAAAGTCACTCCATGATCAGTGTCAATCTGTTATTTACAACGAATGTACTCAGATAATATTCTGCTCCGCTGTTTAATATTTTTAGGTTTGTTTTTTTGCAATCAGAGTTATAATCTGGTTTTAATTTGTTTTGCTGATCTTGTTGTGTTTTAGTAAGTGCTATGGACCTTGACGTACAGTAAATAACCATGCTGTCCTAAGACCACTGTGCTGTTACTGCCCACACGTTAATACTGGACCTTGTGTCCGCTATCGTTTGTCCTATCAGATCTTCCCTAGACCACAATAATGTGGCCCGCACCACAGGCCATGGAGAGGGCCACACAAGCAGGAGAAAGGAAAGGCGGAAAAGGAAAAGGCAGAGGCAGAGGGGAGAGAGGGAGAGACAGAGGAAGCCCTCCACAATTCCTGAGCAGGAGAGCAGCTTCCACAGTTCTTTTCAAGCACAGGTACAGCCTCTGGGCGGCACGTCTCGGACCCGAGCACTGGACAGCACCACTCTTGCAGGACCGTTGCTTTCGCCCAGATTGTAACATCTGTGGTGCTGTAACGTCAGTACATCTGCTCAGTCGTTCAGTCACCATCCTCTTCCTCCACTGCACTGGAAAATGTGCTAGTATAAATAGGAAGAGGTGTGGTTTTAATGACAAGACATGGCCTGCTCTGGGCTTGGGGTAGCCATTGTCCAGCAGCTTTTACCCTTGAGCCATCAGCCTTGTGGACACATGGAAACAGCCTGTTTTAACTGCTTCAGCAGGTGATTTGTGCAATGAAGGATTTGAAATAGAAATATTTACACCCTGCAGATCTCAAGCATTGCATTTGGCCATTTATAGACTTAACTGAATAAATCAGTCAATTTCTTAAATTGGTCGAAACTCATACTTGTTTCAGCTCTTGAGAAACCAACTGTTTCAGGGTGATTTATAAGACCAGCTGGATTGTGACCCTTTGTGACCAGGATTTCGACCCCTGTTAAAAACTGTATATAAATACACCCTGTGTTCTTTCGTATAGAAATAAAAATATCTAATCTTGATCATTATTTTTTTGTAAAAGTATGTGAATGCTCTTAAATTTTAAGATCACTGACATTTCTTGGTAAAATTGAAGATAAAATGTTAAGAAAGATTTTTGAAGAAAGATAAGATACAGTCCCTGCTGCACCAAGAAATGTAGTTCTGTTCGAATAGAGTATTTATTCTCCTTTAAATGTAAATGTAAATGTAAAACCCTGTCTGTGATAATAAAGAATATTTCTGTGACATAAGGCAGATTGTTCCACGTAAATCCTGATTCCTGGATTAGTGATACCCTAAAGAGCGCATTGTTGAGGACCTGTGGTTTTGAGATTAAGAAATGCCAGAGTTTCAGATCGCAAAGGGAACTGAAACTGCTGACACTTACACACTGATGACTGCATCCCTATTAAAGTCCCCTGTTGCAATCACAGCTGTGTGCAGCAACATGACATTTAGCTTTTTCAATGAGTGCACCTGTAACAGTTCGCAGATCCCTGCACTGTTAAAATCCAAGATTCTGTTAAAGTCGCCAGTTAAATGCACCGCAGTACTCAGCCTTCCTATCTCTGTGTTCAATCCTTAAGACAAATAAAGCTGCAAAAGATACTGGCTGAGCTACACTTTAAAACGTTTAATCTCTTTGGGAGATATTTAATCTACGGGAAATCAGCTGAAGTCCGTGTGCACTCCGTTTAATCAGTTTTACACTTAAATTAAGGCACTCCCAGCGACAAAACTCGCAGTCCCGTTTTTCTGTGTCTCTGTGTGTCCTTGTCTTTCGGTGGTCGTACCCGTTGACCCCTCCCAGCACACTTTTCCTATCTCCTCCTGACCTCGCCTCCGTCTTCCCTCTCCAGGAGCAGGCCTCTGGGCCCAGTGTGTGTTACAGCAGCCCCAACAGTTCTGGGGTGCAGGAGACAGAGGTGCCCGGCTGGCCGAGGACCCCAGTCCTCGAGACAGCGCAGCCCTACAAGCTTCCAGACACCGCCCTCCTGCTCTTACAGCAGGGGAAGCTGTGGAAGGTCTCCCTGCTCCCGCCCAGGGGCTTGCAGAGCCTCGCGCTCTCGGAGGATGGCCAGGAGTCGCCCCCAGACTCCCCCGACAGCAGCGCGGCGGGCTGCAGGCTGGCGGTGCAGGCCCTGCGGGGCAGCGTCAGCCTGGGGGAGCGCCCGTACATGAAGCCCTTCTTCCAGGAGGTGAAGAGGGACGCGTGTGCCCAGGGGGAGGAGGGGCGATGGGGCGAGGAGGAAATAAACGAAGGCATCCTACTGAACGAGGTGAGGCTCAAGGCAGGCAGCTGGACTTTGCCTTTCTTTCTTTGCCTTTTTAAAAAAATAAAAATTCTCATGCTATCTGGAAAAAGCTGATCGTGCTGTTGAAAATGCCGTGAAATCTTTCCAATTAAGAGAGCAAGGTGCTCCAAAAGGCCTCCTCTTATTTGGAAGGTTTTTAATGTTTTCAACCTGTTGTCGGTTTGTTCTTTCATTCAGTTCCAACTCCCTTGCTCTGAGGTGGGCTGTCTTGCTGAATGTGTAGCTAGTAAAGTGTATCCTGGAGAATCTGTTTGTTTTTTTCTTTTGCCCAGACTGATGTTCTTTCTCTCCTCACTCTCCCTTCATTCTGCATTCAGCTGCAGAATGTGGGTCTGTATGGGACCACGGGACCATGGGACCATGCGCTCTGGCAGCCCGGCCCTTCCTGTGCAGGGTACTGAGCGCGCACACGTGTCGGCTTGTGTTACAGAACCTGAAGCCACAGAATTATGGGTACAGGGAGGGCGAGGAGTACTCCATCTGCAGCCACGTGCAGAACGGCTCGTTCGGAGAGGTGTATCAAATCCAGGACAAGAGCACAGGCTTCAAGTGCGCCGCCAAGAAGGTACTGGACAGTGTTGTCATGTCTTCCTCCCAGTGCATCTATTACTGTCTGCCTTTGCTTCCATCTGCCTGTCCCTGTGCATAAGCAATAGGGGTGCTGTGGTGAAGCGTTTTTAACAATGTGCTGTAGTGTGTGCAGGGTCTGTCTCTGTGTCAGCTTCTTTATTAAACACGCCAGCTGGTTATGAAGACTTTTGATTGTGTCTGTGAAATATGTACAAGCTGCCCTGAGTTTATGCCTCTTTTCAACTGCAGCTTTCGGAAGTGGCTTGACTCTCTGCTCTCTCTGTTGGCACAGATACTCCTGGACAACTTTAACTACGAGGAGGTGGGCTCGTGGAGTGCCCTTAACTCTCCTCAAATCGTCCAGCTGTTCGGGGCCGTGAGAGAGGGAGGGTTCGTCACCCTCTTCATGGATCTCAAATCCGGTAAGTGACTCCCCCCAGCACACACACACACACCCCAGAGCTGATGCTGGCATGAACCCAGGAGACTGCATGATGTTACTGTGCTGACTGCAACATGACATCACCTGCTGGTGCAACCCCCTGACATCAGAATTGATGGACTAAACCGTCTGTGAAATTTATCTGTGCCAAATAGTAAAATGATGCTGTTTTCTTACCACAAAAAACTGTCCTCTGCTCTAGGATCTGTGGGCCAGCTCTTGAAAGAGAGGGGCCGTTTCCCAGAGGATCGTGCCCTGCATTATCACAGCCAGGTCCTGGAGGCTTTGGTGCACCTGGAGAAAAGAAGAGTTCTTCACCGGGACATCAAGGGTAACAGACCCCCTGAGACACTGATAGAGACACA